ATGTAATTGATGACTTAATAGCAAATAACAATCCTGATGCTCTAAAGTGGTGTCTCAAAGCTAGCAAAAATTATAGTACACAATCTGTTTATAGAGCTATCTTGTTTTGTTTAGAGGGTAAAGGATAGAAAAATTCAGGAGATCTGGCACTGCCCTGCCATATGAAAATAAAACATTTTGTCTGGTTGGCTATGAGGGACTGAATCCAGTCCACTAAGCAGTTAAAGAGAAAAGGCAAGGCTGGGAAGGGACTGATATTTGTCGCTTATTTGGTGTATTTGCAGGGATACTTTCTGCTGGGGCAGAGTCCCAATATAGTTTTGTGATTTCTTTTTAATTATTAGTCAGTATAATAATGAGAAAAGTAGAGTTTTTGCTGCTCCTTTAGCTGCTATCGGTTGGGTGCTGTGGATTACTATAAATAACACGATTGTTAGATCTAAATTGATCTATTCTTCTCTAATCCTTCCCTTCAAAATCATTTCCCATTTGCAACGTTGGAAAATGCTAGGTGTTAAGGATGCTGATGCCATTAACAAAATGACCGAGGAGCTCACAAAGACAACGGCAACCCTGGGTGCTCAGAGAGCTAGAATTGATTGAATAGTTTCTATTTAGCCGCGGTAGTTTTTAGTATGATAGAGTTGTGACTGATCCACTGTTATATGTGTTGCTGGTTCTGAACTTCACCCATTGCAGGTAATTTTGAGCCAGTTCCTTGGTGTTCTACATGGAACGAGCATAAATGTTAATATTCACGCGGCTTTGTGAATGGGCCATCCGAGTTGGGACATCCAAGGCTGAGGTTGAGGGTGTTGCTGCTGCTGTGATCTGTTGGGCAGTCGTGGATCAAGGGGCGCTGGGTGGCGGCGACTGAAGATTGTTTTTGGAGGCCGCCGTATTGTCCTCACTGCGCGCCCTGCTCTAGGTCTGGCAAGGGTCACCTCGCGTGCCTTTTGTCACAGCTGCACTGTCAGTGGTGTCTTCGGCTTCTCTTTCACCCAGGTTCATCTTCGCCATCTCATTTGTACCTCGGTATATCAGGCATCGCTACAGGAGATCAATTAGGTTCAGAAATCATCCTCATCAGTTCATATGAATAATCGATGCTTTATCAAGCATCTCTGAATTGCATCTTTAGATAATTGAACAGGACTAGGAATATTTTTGTTATTCTGGTTAGAAATATCCATTAGGTTCATAGTTCTTACTCCTGGATTTTTGTTAGATAGCAATGCAGGAGGAATGTGTGGAAATTAGGTTCTAACATGATCAACACTGAATATTCGTTGCACACAAGATGTTGAAACGATATTTCTTCACAGTTTTGACACATCCATCTCCTCCTCATCAGTCAAAGTAACACTTGCAGTGCTAGCTATCTCCTATTGTTGGTGACAGTAGAAAGATAGTTAGCCCCCCCAGCTTCCCCTTGACCCGGAGCAAACTTTTCACTTTTTTAGACGTGACTCATGCATTGCTATAACACTTTTGGAAGCCGAGCTCGGCCTTATCTCCTGACAGTGTAGGTGTGGGCCCTACCGGGAGGAAAAATATCTCCCCTGGCTGGCTCGGCTCGATTTTTTCGGTGTCCGTTTTTTAAAAACCCGGCACCTACAATATACAATATATGGTTGGTGTCGGATTTTTTTATCGGTTTTTTAAAAAAACCGACACCTATAATGTAAGTGCCGATTTTTCTCTAAAACCGACACCTATCTTCGTTTAAAGGTGTCGGTTCTAATTTTTTTTCATCTTATGAAGGTGGGAAAAGCACTATATATTGGTGTCCGTTTTACCACTTTCGGTACCTACAGTGTTGACATCTATCCGATGTTTTGTAGTAGTGGTCTGGGTCATTAGGATCTTAGATAATTACGTTGTGTACTGCATGGATGGCCTAGTCGTGAGCGTGGCATGCGGCTGCTAGTGGCGTACGTCTTGGCCTCTAATCTGTCTATTTAAGCATGTACTTAGCATCTTTGTTAATTGAGAGTAAAAAAGAGAAAAACGCTGCGTTTGTGCAGCTCCAAACTCCAGTGTTCTTCGCCAGTTCGCCTCTGGTGTGTGTGTTCATCAGGAGTGTGTGCGACTAGTGTATCTAGTTAGGGAGTGATTCCCAACATTAATCAAGTCACAAACCAAAAAAGGATTTTAACCTTCAAGTAATGCCATTCTATCTTTCTCACAGCTGCAGCTTTGTAGTCATATACAGGATAGTATAAGTAGAGTCAAAGTTGTAGCATATCTATTGTGCCATCCCTGAATAAGTAATATTATTATCCTTCAAGCTTAAAATGAGAAAAGCGCACAAGTAACCTAATAACTAATAAATTTCCAAAGGCTCGTCCATCTTTTACTGGTAAAAAAAATAGTGGTGGTGATGGTAGCATATTATATGCAATATGATGAATAGTATTGCAGTATCTTTTTGGTAAATGAGTGAATCATTCCATTATCTATTATCTGTATATGTATGTGGCCATTTCATTTAATGTGAATTATGCCAATTTTCTAGATTTGGGGATACTATTATTTTCTAGTTTAGAACTTTTGGTATATTTATAATTTACATCCATACAATAAACCGGCACCAGGTTGGTTCCAGTATAAAAAAATGCTAGTGACTAAAATATATCTACCTATGGTCTTACAGAACTCTATAATTGTAGTCATGATACCTACAGTACACGTATGTAGTATTTAGGATATCTCGTGAAATATATATACTTATGGTCTTACATGAGATTATAACTAAATATAACGGCTGCTGTTGGACTTGGAGCCCTAGCCAAGAGAAGCCGCTAAGCCAACCAGGCGGCATAACCAGTAGGTTTGCACTGCATCCAATGGAAAGATGATGAGGAGCAGAACAATAGCATTACTATTACGCTTCACAGTGAGTGGACAAATTGTACGACCCAAAAAATAGATGTAGAATTACATAATGAAAATTTTCTTTCCAAATTGTAAACTATGCGCAATAAGTTTTTTTACGAAACATATGGTATTATCGATGGCAAGCCAATATAAACAACAAGAGAGAATTACAAATATGCCACTGCTTTCATCTCCTAATTTGGAATAGCCATTATAAATACACAAATTGCATATTTGCCACCAAAGTTGGTGTGTGTGGCTTCCGTTTGCCATTGCAGTCTGAACTGGTATAATTAAAAGGTCAAAAGTTTTTTTCACAAAACTAATGTAGAAAACAAGGAACATGGTATGACCGTTTTGCTCTTGGCTAAAACAGATCCCTCACTGGCTTCTCTCTCCAAGAGCCCTAAATCCTCAAATCCCCTTATCTCTTCCTCCAAATCGAGAACAAAACTATTCAAAATTGGTTCCAATAGGAGATCGAGGGCAAGGGAGGAATGGAGGAATGGTGACTTGGGCGGTAACAGCAAGCGCAGCGGCGGGGAGCTGCTTCGGCGGCAACAGCTTGATGTAGCTGTTGCTAGTGAACCATGTACATGTCTCTCCAACCTTAAACTAGTGAACCATGTACATGTCTCTCAAAGGCAAAGTGAATTCCCTTGTTATTTTTATCTTTTCAGGATAATAAATTACAAAATACTTCGTACCATAGTCTAGCCCATCAGAAAAACACAACCATCATCGTCTCATTGTTATAATGGCTTGCACTGGTTTTCCTCTCTAAATTAAAATACAAAATAATTGATTTATAATAAATAGTCTATGCAGTTGTATAGATATGTTATATCACTGCTAGAGAAAGCATTTGTAGTCCCAGTTTGTAAACCCCTTTAGTCCCGGATAGCAAACCAGGGCTACAAGAACAGGACTAAAGATCGTCCCGGTTCAGATACCCGGGACTAAAAGTTTTTTTTCTACTTAAATATTGATTTTAAACTGTCCTCAAAATCATCCTCATTCACAAAATAATCCACAAATTCAATAACAAAATCATCCACATTCACAAATGCAACAACAAAATCATCCACATTTACAAAAACATCAGAAAATCTTCCACAAATTTACACCACAAAATCAGTCAAAAAAAACATCTAAAAATAATCCCCTATTCTTCTATTTTTTTTCTACTCCACGACGGCCGTTCCGGGCGCCGCCCTTCGCTCCAGCGCTGGGCGCCGCCGCCCTCCGCAACGGCCGCGCCGCCAATGTCTTTGGCTGCCGCCCGCTGACGTGAGGGTAAAGGGAGAAGGGAAGCCAGCAAGGGGAGGAGGGGAGGAAAAGATAGAGGATGTGAGGGAGAGAAAGAGATAAGGATGAGAGGAGGAGGGAATCTCTGAAATTTTTCTCTCCCTCACATGCGCGCCTTTTTGCTTTCTCTATCTCACGAGCGATTTTTTTAGTCTAAACAACAGGGACTAAAGATATTAGGGGGCCTACCACGTCCTGACAATAAATGAACCGGTCTTTAGTCCTGGTTGTTAACACCAACCGGGATTAAAGATCAAGAAAAATACCTCCGAACTTATAACTCGGGATTAAAAATAGTTTTTAGTTCTGGTTTTTTATCAACCGGGACTATTGTGGTTTTTCCCAACCCACAAAAAATGGTTTCTCCAAAAATGTATGTCTATCAGGTTTATCCAGGCTCACAAAAATTCCTAGGTCCGCCACAGTTCGCGTCCCGTCCGAGCGAACATTCGCACCACCCCGAGTTCGTACCCTTGCTAAGACAACCATATATTTTTACCCATTCTTTTTAAACGTGTATGTTTATGTAAACTAGTGAGAAAAAAAGTATTTTTTTTTAAAAAAATGTTCATTCTATTATTGGTAGTCTGTCGGTGCAGTTGGTAGAACATTCATAAAATTATAAAATTATGGCGAATGAAAAACGTCACACCATTCGTGACGAACGCCTCTTCCCACTACGCACTTACTGCAACCAATGCATTTTATCTCAAGGTGCTCACAGTCATGTTTGTGACAATTTTCACATCCTTTTTACGAAAGTAGAACGTCACAGAAGGTAATGTGAAAAAACAACTGAACACTACATAACAAGTCATGAAGAGATAGGTCTTGACATTTTTTTCCCCTATATGGATTCTCCAACTTGAACGTTCACATTTTGAGGTCGTATGAATTAGTTATGAATTTTACAAGATTTAATAGGGTTAAAAACATTAGAAATGATAAATGAAATAGTACTTTATACCACTATGCTCAGTTTGAAACAAATTATTGAGCGGATTGTTGCCATGGATTATCTACTTGATTATATAAGGATAACATTTACATTTTTCCCACATTGTATGCGTTTTTCCTTGACGGGGGACCTTACGTTTTTCCCACATTTATAAATGCATTGCAGACCAATGAATTGCTGATAGCTGAGGCCCATCGAAAGTACGATGCAGATGATCAGCAAAATTTGGAGTGAAACAATCAGGCATAACAGGTGGCTGCTTTTCATACTTGGGGAAGTGATCAAGACATGACTGTACAATAGCATTTTGCATCTGACGGAAAGATTTTCATTAAAACAACTGGAAAAGAATATGAACCAAGAAATCAAAATATATAAAATGAATTACCTGAACATTGCGACAGCAGAAGGCATGCAAGGCAACATATTCCCTTTGTGTTGTTGCAAGGGAACCAACACTAATCAGACTACCAAGTAATCTGAGGATGGAGTTTCTTCAAAATATTGGTCCAACAGCTGCACATACAACACAAACATAATTTATAAGACAAATGGAAGTAAATTATTAAGTTAGCAAATGTTGTATACAATGGAAAAGGCATTGTAATATTATTCGTATATCAAGCAAAGTTAGCAAAGATATACAAGGAAATTATATACAATCATGAGTATATGACTCATAACAGGTCTTTCAAGATGAGTCTGCCTGTTTTTACTTTGGATTTAGCTAAATTCACGCAACAGGCTAATTGGGTCATGTGAATCCGAGCATGTTTTACACGTGTCCAACTGTTCAATGCAACTCTAAGTGTGGGGCTCACAAATGAAGAGCAAAACTCAAGTTTTGCAACTTATCCTTACATTTGGAATTTAGGAAGAAATGCAACCAGAGAACATTTCAACATAAAAGTTTGTGATGCAAGTTGTGGTAAAGGGCAGGGCTCATGCTTGACACTGCAGTTGGTAGAAAACTGGGACAAATGCTGCTGGCTGCACAACAAATATCTGAACATTAACTCGTTTTTTTTTAATTCATATTCCAACTAGAAGTCTTTTCTGTGCTCCTAGGTTTCAGTTTAGTGGTTGTCTATAACTCAGAACATGTTGCTTTAAATCCTGTTTTAAGAAAAATAGCAATGCCATCTGCTCTTCCTGAAAAACAAACTGTGACTGTGCTTGCTAAGACTTTAGCCAAGCAACGCTTATTGGGTAGTGCAAGCTCTAATAATACCATGCCTACCAGAATTGAACAAGCCTGTCCTAATCAGAAGACATCAGATATATGAACATCCAAACAATATAATTCTAAAGAATAATAACAAATGCATTTGCAATGAATGGAAAGATTAGCAAAAAGTGTAGTACACTGTACCAACAAGCCATCCACAATGACTCAGCTTCTTTGTTTGAACCAACATTCTGCCTATTAGATATACTTGATTGAGAAGTTGAAAACAAAGAATAGATAAATAAGCACAGTTATCAAAATAATTTCATTTTAGACAAAAGGATCTTCAGGCTTTAACAAATGAGAAGAACCCAGCATAGCTACCTGAACCAGGTCAAGGAAATGATATTCATGCTTCACAGTACCACAATGACTCAACTTCACCTTTTCTGAAAGTACATTTATATTCATGCTTTAGTAGAACAACAACATCATAACATCCTGAAATCATTGGCAAAATATTATTAGGTGATTTCATTGCAAAGACATGTTTGTATAGTTGCTCCACAGAAAATGCCATCAACAAAACAAGGTGGAAACCATAACGTACCTATTTCATGCATCCACTGCTTTCACGATGGATATGAGAGGATGGGCTCTCATATTGAAATTTATTAAGAGGGGTGAGGCTCGAACCCAGGTCAACTAGCCCAAACCTTGTGGTGCTAGCCGGAAGACCCCCGGGCCTTTCTCATCCACTGTTTTCACCGACAGCGTGACATGCACATCCCTTGATACAGATTCATGACTATTCTCATAGGAATTATATAGGTGAGCTCAGCATTCCTCAAAATAGCAAGGGCTCAAACGTTCTAATGTACTCAACAGATTCAAAGCTTCCAGAAACAAATTGAAGTTCTGCCTCTGTTCAGGTAAAAAACTGCAGAGTATGAAATTTGCAGTTAAGAATATATACAGTTGTTTTGGCGCTTCAGAATGAAAACAGAAACAACAAAGATTTATCAATCATGTATAAGGCATGCATGAGCCCAAGAAAAAATATAAGTGAAAATTACAATTGCCACAATATCTGACATAAAAGAAGAAACACAGAGTTCGACTTTGAGCAAACTTGAACAGCCTTAAGAACAAAGCACAAGTGGTGAACTATCCCTAAAGTTTAGAATATTTAAAAGGTTTGTATACAGAAATAGCATTTTACATCCAACAGAAAGATTTTTATTCAAACAGCTGGAAAAGATATTTACCAAGAAAGAAAAATATAAACATGCATTACCTGAACAATGAGATGGCAGAACGCATGCAGTGCCACATATTCCCTTTGTCCTGTAGCAAGTGAACCAAAAGACCAGTTAGATACCAAGTACTGTGAGGTTGGAGTTTCCTAAAAAAAAAACATTACTCACTGCTGCATGTACAACTTAACAGAATGATATGATAAATGGAAGAAAAGATTCAGTTAACAAATGTATAGACAATAAATATAAAAGGAAATTAGAATATTACTCATAAATCAAACATCGTAAGCAAATAATGCAAGGAAATCCTACACTCATGAACGCATGATTCACGACACAGAGTTTTTGGATGAGAACTCTGTCTTCACTTCAGTTTTAACAAGAAACTCAAGCTTGCATTGCAATGTGCCCCAAGGTGCTGGATGTACAGAAAACAACTATGAGAAATACAGCATCACACGCATACTTAGGACATGTCTTACAGACTTTTTGTTTTTTGCTTAGTGATTAACTGCTAAATATACAGAATGATATAGTCCATAAACTAATACTTAAGTACATAGAACAGGGCAGGCTGGAGCAGTGGAGAGTTAATGCTGACTCTATATAATGGATCAGAGCAGATGTGCTCGACCCTAAATAAATGTTACCTGAAGCATCCTGAGTTCTGTCTTTGTGATCTCCCACCAATTTATAAACATCCTGCATGGCTGCATAGTGCCATTTTGTTAGCATCTGCTCACAGCTTTCCTCCAATACCTAGCTCAGGCTTCTCGCCTTCCTGAAACCTTGAAGAACTCCAAGTAGCTTTGGTAATCACTTTGGCATTTGATGCCTTCTGTAGCATACATCCATTATCCTACTGCATATAGAGGCACGCTACCCTCCATTTCAAAAGCCAAATCAAGTTCCCCCTGTTTATAGCATAGCTCCTCTAAACATTTCTTTGTTTTTTTATCAAGATACTTCCTTTTCTTCAGCATCATTGTAAAAATCCTGTCAGCCTCACTCCATCGTCCATCTTTTGCAAGTACCAATAGCAAAGAAGTGTAGTTGGCATATCGTGGAGTATAACCCTGGAAAAGCATATCTTCAAATAACTGTAGGACAATATCAATTGCATTTTCAGCAAGAAGAAGCTCCATTAGTTTGTCATAGGAAGCCTTACTAGGAACAAAGCCTCTTTTGTGCATCATCAATAAAAACGAAAGTGCTTCTTTCATTCGTCCAGCAAGAGAAAGCCCCTTAATAAAAGTGTTGTATGTTATCTTATCAAAGACACATCCGTCACTGTTCAATGAGTTAAATAGTTGGATAGCATGGTTGATGTCTCCTAATCTTATTTGATTATTCATGAGTATAGTATACGTCACATGATTGGGAAGAATACCAGTTTGGTCCATCACAGATAAGAGGCTGTAAGCATCATCCATCTTATTGGCTCTACAAAGGCCATTAATCATCCCATTGTAAATATGTAAATCAGGCACCATACCATTTTCTTCAAGATCCTGAATTATACCCTGAGCAACCTGAATCATTTCCTCTGTACATATCTGATTGTCCTTCTGTTTTCCATTTCTTGTATCAATGATTTGAGGCAGCATTCTAAATAACATATACCTTGCTTCCTTCAGTTTTTTAGCCAGAGACGGTCTCATGCCTCGGCGAGCTATATTTCGGCAAATGCCAGTGACTAAAGCACCATAGGTGATGAGATCAGGTGCAACATTGGTTTTCATCATCAAAACAACAAGATCTAAACCTAATCTTACATCTCCTTTCCTAAAAAACTGATTTATAAGCATTGTATAGATGACTGTTTGTGGTGCGATGCCCTCCTCCAGCATCCTTTCCAAATAACCAAGAGCCTTTCTGATTTTGTTTCCCTTTACCAGGCCATTTATAAGTGAACCATAAGCATGGGGACCAGGTTGCAAACCTCTCTTTAGCATTTCATCGAAAATACGGCACACATTCCTTGTTTGCCTCGTCAAGGAATATCCATTAATAAGTGATGTGTAAATAATCTCATCTGGTGCTAATCCTTCTCGAATCATTTGGCGGAGTGTAGCCTCCGCTTCTTTAAGGCGCCTCATTCTACACAAGCACACTATAATAGAATCATATACTGCAATAGAAGGCTCTATCCCATCCTTGGCCATTTCACCAAACAGATGAAGTGCACTTTCTATTTCACCAATCTTACAGTATGCTGTTACCATGATTGAATTTGTGGACATATCAGGTCTGACACCCCTGCTCTGCATAATAGTAATGAGTGCCCTAGCATCATCCATACGATTTTGCTCACACAGGCATTTTATCACGATATTGTATGTTAAGACAGAGGGCTCACAGCCATAAGCCACCAGCTTCCCCAGTAGATAGTAGGACACATCTAGCCTCCCCTCCGAGCACATGGCAATTATCATCAAATTGAGAACGATATTAACAGGGAGCACATTGCTTGTCACTATTTCATCGAGAAGATGGTCAGCCTCCTTCTGTAAACTCATGTTCGAGCACCCACCGGCAAGCGAAGAAAGCTCCAGCAGCTTGGCGCCACAATCCAACTTGGCAACAGCCTTCAATGCTTTCCGCACAAATAAAACCACCCAGCCTTTGGGGAAGAACCTCGCTATCGAAATAAACATAACATGGTCAGGGAAAAGGCCACTCTCCAGCATCTTATCAAACAGATTCTCGGCCTCACCCAACTTCCCATCCTTGCAGAGCGATGCCATCAGAATAGTGTAGCACCTCAAGTCAGGTGCAACACCCGTCCTTATCATCACCTTGTAGATATCCATGGCAGCACCAACCCACTTGCTCTTACAATACCACCTGATCATCACATTGTAGGTTGCTGCGTCAGGCTGAATGCCCCTGTCAATCATCTCATGGTACATCTGGAGGCCATGATCGACACGCCCATGCTCAAACAATCCCCATATCATCGTCGTGTAAGCGTACGCATCCAACTGAACATGCTCATCCCCCTTCATCCTACGGAACACATCCAGCGCAGGCTCCAGCCGCCCCTCCCGGCAAAACACCCGGATGAGCGCCGTGCTGAGCTCCCTATCGAGATACATCCCTTTGATGAGCATCAGCTGGCACATGTCGCTGGCATCGAGGGAGCGCCTGGCCTTGCAGTATGCGAAGGCAAGCGACCTGTAGACGCGGACGGGGGGTGTGAGCCCGGAGCGAAGCATTGCGTCGAACAGGAAGCGGGCCTTGTCGACGGCCCCCTCGGAGCACAGGCCCGGGATGAGGAGGGCGAAGTCCGAGACGGGCAACGGCGAGGGGTTGCCCATCGAGAGCACGAGAACGTCCATGGCCTCTGTGGACATGGAGGCGGAGCACATGGCGCGGAGGAGCGCGGCGGTGGAGGCGGGCGAGGGGGCGGCGCCCGACTGGACGAGGCGGTGGAAGTGGGAGAGCGCGGAGGAGATGTCACCGAGGCGGGAGTGGCAGGCGACGAGCGCGTCGGAGACGGCGGGGTCGGGGGCGTCGGCGAGGGCGAGGCGGGAGGCGACGGCGCGCGCCTCCCGGAGGCGGCCGCGGCGGAGCAGGCGGGTGAGGAGGTCGGCGCAGTGCGAGGCGTGGGAGGTGGAGGCCGCCGCCACGCGGGAGCACATGGAGAATTAATGGGAGCAGGAGACGGAGTCGTCGCCGGCATCGAGCGCGGCGGGCGGGGGCAGCCGAGGGTGGCGCCGCCGCCGCCGCCGCCGGGGAATTCGGGGAGGAGAGGAAGGATTTGACGAGCGAGCGATATCCACCGTTGATTACCATCCAACGGTCACTTGATTATTACTCTCCTCTTCTCTTATTTGGAATGAAATCATTTTTTATGACGCTATTGTAGTCTTGTAGATAGTAGAGCAGAGTAGAATACTATAATTACTTAAAATGGGATACTAACATATGGTTTTTTATTATTTATTAATTATAGAGAATGTGTATGTCTTCATTTTATTATAAAGATTAGCCATGATGATGCTCTCCTAGCTATGATAATAATATGGACATAGTTCGAAGGGATTAGTGTGCACGTTTCGTGAGCGTCCACATTTGTGCTGTGTTTCTAAACAAACAATATAGATACAATGCATGATACTATTTGCAGTTTCTTTGATAGCATGACGATAAATTGTGAATGGTGCATTTTCGTATATGTTAACTGGTGGGAACATTAAAAGAACATTGTAGTGTACATTAACACAACCTTTTGAAAAACGAACGTTGTTGTGTTGTGTACACATTGTTCAAGTGAGACCCACTTGATGACTATAGGCCTGTTTAGTAGAGCTACAAATTTCCGATCGTATATGTTTATATGTTAAATTATAGCGGTCTAAAATTTTATTGTTTTATCTAAAACATGAATAAAATGATTTATTCAAATGTTGATCGTAAATCTAAATTTATGGATTTGTAGAGCCAGGAATACCCAGCAAAAAATATCTTAAATATGTAGTCTAAGAAGCTGTGCCAAATAGGGATGAAAACAGATCGAATACGGTCGGAAACTAGCTTTATCATATTCGTTTTCATAATTTTTTTCGGAATAGAAATCGGAATCGGAATCGGAAACCCGGATATGAAAACGGAATCGAATATTATCGAATACAAATACGGAGCGAAACGAATACTGTGACGAATATTAATCGGAATATAAAAACTCCTCACTACTCACAAACGATTTTTGATATTGTGTTTCTAAAATCATGCTCTATCATGTTATTGTGTTTCTATTGCTATTATTTTGGCCTTTTTGTGACTGTTGTTTTATCAATTAAAAATTTGAATATCAAAACTTCAAATGATATTTTGAAGCAGTAAATAAATTTAGCTGAAAAAATCATGAACATAAAAGTTGTAGAACTCATCAAGACATATAACTTTTATTTTGGTAATTTCTTCATCCGATAAAGTGACAGTAACATTGTTCATAAAATTTACATCTATCTTTCAAAGTTTATAAAAACAAATGAGAGATGTAAATTTTGTGAACAATGTTACTATCACTTTGTCGGATGTAGAAATGACCAAAATAAAAGTTATAGATTTTCATGAGTTATACAACTTTGTTGTTGATGACTTTTTCAGTTGAAATCATTTAGTATTTGAAAATGTTGTTTGAAGTTGTTATATTTTCAAATTCAAATTCAAACTATTCAAACAAAGTCATATAGAAAAATGACCAAAATAAAAGTTATAGATCTTGATAAGTTATACAACTTTTTTTTTGACAATTTTTCCATTTGAAATCATTTACTACCCAAAAAAATTATTTGAATTTCTTATATTTTAAAATTCAAATTTTATATAGTTCAATCAAACTCAGATGGAGAAATGACCAAAATAAAATTGGTAGATCTCAATGAGTTCTTCAACTTTGTTATTAATAACTTTTTCATATAAGTTCATTTAGTATCATAAAATTTAATTTGAAGTTCTTTTTTTTAAGAAGTCTGATTTGCCTCCTCTTTGGCTTGGGCTGGCTTATGGGCCTTATGTGTTGTCGGATATCCGATGGAAAATACCGGATAATATCCGACGGATATCACCTATATCATATTCATTTTCATATCCAAAAAATTATCCGAATTTGAAAATTTCCGGATATATCCGACCGAAACTATCCGAACCGAAAAAAGGTCCGGTCGGACGGAAATTATCCGAATCACTTTCAACCCTAGTGCCAAAGAAGACCTATGAATATAGCTTTTTGTAGTCTGTAGGGATACTTGCATCTCGAATTTTTTTTATTTTTAATTTTTTTTATTAAAAGTTTTACAAAAATAATTTTCCATTTTGAAAATTGACGGAAGTAGTCGCCTACCGCCCTCTGGGAGGGCGATTTTTAAAAATCGCCCTCCCAGAGGGCGGCGAAAATGACGTGGCAGACGGCCGTTCGCTCTCGGGCGACGGCCGTCAACGAAATTTGCAGGCGGCCCCCTTGCCGCCCTCCGCGAGGGCGATTTTGTACTGTGCGGGGGGCCGCCTGCAAATGGGCGGCGAGGGGGGCATGGAATTTTGCAGGCGGCCCCCTTGCCGCCCTCCGCGAGGGCGATTTTGTACTGTGCGGGGGGCCGCCTGCAAATGGGCGGCGAGGGGGGCATGGAATTTTGCAGGCGGCCCCCTTGCCGCCCTCCGCGAGGGCGATTTTGTACTGTGCGGGGGGCCGCCTGCAAATGGGCGGCGAGGGGGCATGGAATTTTGCAGGCGGCCCCCTTGCCGCCCTCCGCTAGGGCGATTTTATACTGTGCTCTATATTTTTGTATAAATATCAATAGTTATCAAATCTTTTTATATTGAAAACTATACAAGATTAAAATCTCCAAGACTGGTAAAATACAATTTTATTATTTTTTAGGGCATATTTGGATTGTTACCGTACAAATATTTTGTTACCGTACAAATATTTTATTAATTTTTAGGGCATATTTGGATTGTTAGTGCCAAATTTTTCTTCACGACCAAATATTTGGTAAGGTAAAATTGCATTTGATCATATTTGGTTTGCTGCCAAAATGTAAAATTATAGTGAAGAATGTTCTACATAATCTCAAATCTAGATTACGTATTACCAATGAATAGGCTTCCATTTTCGTGTGTTGTGTGCTAGTGGGAAAGAAAATATGAAGAGGTTGCCTTCAGATTGTCAATTATATAGCGTCGTTTTCACTGCAATATATGTGAACTCAATGAGATACATTATTCATTAGATGTGACAAGACGATCACGCGTGGGCGTGATTCACTTTATGTAAACAGGCAGCGCCGAAAGTTGATAGTGATAACTCGAGCTGCCGCTTTTCATGTGTGCTGTTGTGGACTGTGCGCGCTACTGGATCTGACACTACCGTGCAGCGCCGAAAGTGTGTTGTCGTGAGCATAAGTTGTTCTAGCACCATATGAATGAAAAGAACTATGTAGACGAGACAAACACAAGTAGTACTGCAGTAGTAATAGCAAAAGTAGTACTGCTTTACAAGTTTGTAAGCCAAAAGAAACGGTCACATAAGGACTGAAGAGGTAGAACACTACTGACGAGGCCTCTTACCCCTGTCCCTCCTACCCTGCGCCCTAATGTGCCCGTGGGAGTACGTGAGTCGGTCCGGGGGTACGGCACGGCCAACCCGTCCTGCCTGTACAGGTGTGACCTCTGGCTGCTCCTGAGTGTGCGCCTCTGGAGCTCCTCCAAGCTGAGAGGAGCCTAGTACGTCGTGGTGGTCTGCACCGTGCAAGTCGTCATCGTAGAACTGGCTAGTAGGACCAGTCCTACCGGCGTGAGACGAAGAGGCCCCAGTACCGAAGATCCCGGCTGCAAATCCTGCTGGACAAGGACCATCAGTTTCGTACAGGTATTTAACAGTATTAATAAAAAGTAAAGTACCGTGTGGGCGAGGGATCGACGCTCCGTGAGAGGAAGAGCTGGCGAACGCGCCCGAAGAGGTGGCGAACGCCCCTGCGGAGCTCGTGGAAGCGCCGGTCGTGCCTGCGAACGCGCTCGAAGGCAGACGAGGTCCTGCGATGAGGAAACGTGCAGTTAAAACATGGTGACATAATCGTGCAAAAGCTGAAACAAAAATGAACTAATATCTGGGCTGAACTGTACCGTGCGAAACCGGTGCTGTAGGTCGCACTGATCCAAAGCTAGGGGCGCTCGAAGGCAAACGAGGTCCTGCGAGGATGGATCATCAAGTTACGACGGGGTGATGTTTTCGTACAAAAACAGAAACAAAACTTAAGAAACCTCTGGGCTGAGCAGTACCGTGCGAAATAGGTGCCGTAGGTCGAGGTCCTGCTCCGACGGTAGGCGCGCGAGGCCGTGGTTGTACCGGACCAGCTGGAGGTACGACGTCCACGGCGCTGCGACAGGAGAAGACGCGCATGACCGCACGCATCTTCTCCTGCATCCGGTCGAAGGTCACCCTCTGCTCAACGTCAGTCAAGTGCAAACCTCTGTTCAACCTCACTTGGACTGCGGTGATATCGGCACTGATATCCCGTGCGGCATCAGCCTATGCAAGATGGAAATAACAAATTCAGTAGTTGTCCTATATTATGCAAGATAAATGAAATAATTGTAAGAAGTAATACAAATTGGACGTACCGCCACGAAGTAGTCTCGGTCACGGTGCGTGGGATACGCGTCCGTGACAGCGGCAACGTGCGGCTCTGGGGCGTCTGGAGTGAAGGTCACACGCGCACGAGTGCGAGGAAGGTACCAGCGAAGGTAGTCACGGTAGTTCTCCTCCGTGTGTGGGAAGAGCTCGTTGATCACCTCCTCTGTAGCTAACACCCAGTCGTCAACGTACTGCTGTACACGTGGAGCCCAAAGTGCGCCTGCTAGCTGTCCCCGTCGAGTCAACCTGTGAAGAGAGGTAAATTATATGGCTCGATGAAGTAATTATCATAAAAATTTAGAAATGAACAATCCGAACTCACGAGTGGTCGGCAGGGAGGACGGTCGGCTGCACGTTGCCCGGAAACACCTGCCTAAGTCCGAACTGTCTCATCACACGCTGCGGGCAGTGAGGCTCAACGAAAATGTCGAACACCATCGGCAGGATGGTGAGCCAGTAAGCCTGGTCGCGTGTGCACAAGCACGAAAGTCCTAGCGGTGCTCTCGCAGCGACGGCCTCTTCTGTGTACGGCTCCCAGATGACGTCGCTCGGCTGGAGACGGTCAAACTCGAACACGAAGTCCGGGTAACCACGTCTCACCTGGACGTGAGCGTAACGACGCTGCAATAAACATGATCGGAATTAGACATGTTAT